CCACTGCTATAAATAAAAGTATTTCAAGGTTGTAAAAGGAAATTAGAGCCAGAGAGCAAAAGGTCACACTGACCAGAATACAATCAAGCTGTAAAAACACAATTAAGAACTGGTAAATAGTGAAATTTATTGTTTAACAGAAGACTCGAGCCATAAGGTTAAAGGTTAAATGGAAGAGGTTGCTCTTAGAAACAGCTGCTGGATAGGGAAAAGGTTTCTTTATAGAACTTAGGAACTTAGCTTTCACTAAGTTCCTTCTAATTTGAAAAGGCCTTTCCTTCTAAAAATCTATCTATGTTATGTATGAAATATATTGGCTTAAATGTGATTATGCAAAGGATTTAGAAAGTAAGAAATGTTAGATTCTTATGTTAGATTCCTATTATGGTGGGTGAGAAGGTGAACTCAAGATCTCTTTAAGATAAAAAAATTAGAAACCATGCACCATCTGCTTTAGCCATCTGGTTTGCGGTGAATAGGGCAACAGGGGCCAAAGGTTATCTGGTAATTGAGGTGCCTGGTCGAGGTAAATGTAAGATATATGGCTACTTGTCTGCCATTTATGGATACAAGGAAATATAGCTTTTTGTCTCCCATAAAAGGGAATAGGAAATGGGTGTATCTTTTATGATTGGTTCTAGCAAACAGCCAATAGGAATTTCAACCAGGCTGATTGGACAGAGGCAGCCAAAGGAGGAGCAAGGGGGCTGGGCTGAGGAAATATAAGTGCTGGCCATCAGGGCTGGAGTAGGCAGAGCTTTGGTATCCATATACCACTGTGTCTCTCATTTATTTGTCTGACAAATAAATTATTATTTTAATTTCTCTATTGCTGCGTTGAATATTTCATTCCAGCTAAGCGTTAACCACAAGCAGGGTGCTACATTTTATGGTGCCTCTGTGACTCGGATAAGTGGTCTGCTGGAACGCAGCCCCTTCGCCCTAGCGGGCAGGGTACAAGAGGGAGGACCACTGACCGCTTACCCAGCGCGCACTGGAACATTTTTCCAGGGGAACGCAGAAGTCTCGTCTGTCTGATACCCTGCTCACTGGCGGCGACGGACCGGGGGTAACCAGAGAAATAAACAGGGAACCAGCTAAGGGTAAGTGCACAAAGGGGTTGTGGCCCTCCAATTAGTTGGGAGGAAGAGAAGTCTTGATCAAACTTCTGCGTCTCAGTAAGGGGGAACTGAGTACGCTAGGTGGTTGGGTACATCAGATGGTGGTCTGGTGGAGGGAAAAGGGAAAGATTGGGAGGTAGAGTGTGGTGAAGTATCCAGCGCATTGTATGTGTGAGAAAGTACAATTTGTAGCTGACCTGAGTGTGGAGTGGGTAGTACTTCGGTTCCTAGTAAGGCGACTTCACTAGGCAAGGATCCCCACGAAGCGTGTGTGTGAGTGACTGAGTGGATACTTCACAGGGCCATACAATGGGAGTTGGAGGTTCAAAGGGGAAAATACACCTCTTGAATGTATGTTAAATAATTTTAAGAAAGCCTTCTCAGGAGCATATGGAGTCAAAATGACGCCAGAGCGCTTGAGAACGTTATGTGAATTAGACTGGCCAAAACAAAATACTGGATGGCCACCTCAGGGAAGTTTTGATATAAATTTAGCAAGCAAACTTTGGTCTAACATCACCAAAGAAACTGGAGGGTGCCCAGAACAATTTTCATATATAGATTCTTGGCTGAGCACATTAAATAATAATCCTCCATGGATAAGGGAATGCAAAGTCAAACAATGCAAATTATTGGCAGTAAAAGCCGAAGCTAGGAAAGGAATCTTGCCAAATAAACTCAAACCCATTTTTGAGGGACCAGAGGAAGAGGTGCTTCCACCTCCACCCTATGCTCCACATCGAGGGAGCCTAATCCAAACACTCCACCAGTTGTAACCCCAAGGCAAGAAAGTGGAAGGAATAATGGGGCTGGAGTCACAGAGCTTGATTCCTTGATAGATTATGATAAATATCTTCAGGAGGCATTGGAGTCCTATAATAAAGCCCAAGCAGAAGTGGTTATTCCACCTGTGAGTCCCAGTAGAACTCCATCTACAGTCTCCTTTAGTGGAACAACTGATTGCCCACCCCAAACCCCTGTACATCCAAGTCCTAGAGAACTATTACAGGAGTTACAGGGAGACTTTGATCGGTCAGTAAGCAATACAGCCAGGCGTATAAAGCTGTTAAAAGAACGCCTTGGGACAAATACTATCCCCTATGATTTGAGGCCCCTAAAGCAAAGCGAAGAGAAAGGTCACGTAGTAGCCCCTCTCAGAAGAGTATTTGATGCACTTGAGGAGCCTGTGCTGGTTAACGGGCAACTCGGACCACGGCCACCTCGAACTTCGACCCTCCAGTACATTCCATTCACAACTACGGATCTGATGAATTGGAAAACACACACCCCGTCTTTCGCAGAAAAACCTCAGGCTATGATGGACTTGGTGACTTCAATAGTAAATACTCATAGTCCTACTTGGACAGATTGCCGCCAGCTCCTGAATACTCTGTTCACCACTGAGGAAAGAAGAGACATAATTGAAAAGGCACAGATATATTTGCGTGAGCAGGCCAGAGTGGGAAATATTCTTAATGTTGACCGTCATCTCCAGGACAATTTTCCCTTGGAGGATCCTAATTGGGATCCAAACAATGCAATTCACCTGGCCAGGCTTACCACCTACCGCCAGACGCTTGTGCAAGGTATCCGCAGGGCATGCCAGAAGCCCACTAATATGACTAAAGTCTCAGAAGTAGAACAGAAACCGAATGAGAGTCCGGGAGACTTTTAGAGAGGCTGCAGGAAGCCTATCGCATATGGACTCCTTTTGACCCTGAAGCCCCTGCAAACAGCAGAATGATTACTGCTACTTTTGTGGCTCAGTGCGCTTCTGACATTCGTAAGAAAATTCAGAAGTCAGAAGGATGGGAAGGGATGCTGATGAGCCAAATTATGGCCATTGCACGCCGAGTTTATCGGAATAGGGATGAGGCTGAGAAACAAGAGAAGAAGAAGTGGCAGAAGGAAAAGATGGTGATGCTAGCCACAGCAGTGAAGCAAGACTACCGCCCTTTAAATGGAGGGAGAGGGCGGGGAAGGAATCCACCACTGGGAAGGAATCAATGTGCGAATTGCAAGAAGGAGGGTCATTGGAAGCGGGAGTGTCCTGAACCCCTGAGGTTGGAAGAAGTACGCCCAGGCCCAGGCCCAGGCTCCGGCCCAAGAAACCAGGGACGGGGACGGGGAATGATCCGAGATGGAAGATATCAGAGACCTGGACAAGGACGGAGTAGAGACAATTTTATTGGACTGGCAGAGGAGGATTTTACCCAAGACTAGGAACGACCGGACTCCATAAAGTTAGGCTTCCAGGAGCCCACGGTCAAAATTCAATTAGGGAGCCATTTAATAGACTTTATGATCGATACTGGCGCTGAATACTCAGTACTCCCAGAACTTTTGCAGAAAAAGGCATCCAAAAGTGTAGTCATTAAAAGTGCCACTGGTCAGTCAGCTAAGAGGTCTTTCCTCCAACCTTTAGAATGCCAGATTGGGGGACATCATTTAACCCATCAGTTTTTGTATATACCTGAGTGTCCAATGCCTCTCTTAGGTAGAGATATGCTGTCCAAATTGCAGGCCCAAATCACCTTCACTCCTCGAGGTCCAGAAATGAAACTGCCATCAAAGGCAGCAGGAATAATTTCCCTCTCAGTACCTAAGGAACAATCATGGCGCCTAATGTCAGCCCTGCAAGTCCAACCCACATTGGATACAGAATTAAACAAGCTCCTCCGAACCCTACAAGTGCCACCAGGAGTATGGGCCGAAAATAGCCCACCAGGAATGGCTAAGAATATAGCTCCAATTGTAGTAACCCTAAAACCTATGGCTACCCCTGTATCTGTAAAGCAATATCCTTTACCCCGGCGAGCAGCAGAGGGCATCCAGAAACATTTGGACCGCCTATTAAAATATGGTCTGCTTAAGCCCTGCCAATCAGAATGGAACACACCCCTTTTGCCTGTTCGGAAGCCTGGGACAGATGAATACAGGCCAGTACAGGACTTGAGGCTCGTAAACCAGGCTATCGAGACCTTGCACCCAAATGTACCAAACCCATATACCTTGCTGAGTTTGATCCCACCAGAAGCAACATTTTTACTGTATTGGACTTGAAAGATGCATTCTTCTGTTGCCGGCTGGCACCACAGAGCCAACCTATATTTGCCTTCCAGTGGGAAGACCCTTTGACAGGAACAAAAGGCCAGCTAACCTGGACAAGATTGCCCCAGGGATTCAAAAATTCCCCAACTTTATTTGGCACTGCCTTGGCGAAGGATCTAACAAGTTACCCCTCAATACCTGGAAAAAAGGTGGTTCTGCAATATGTAGATGACCTTATACTAGCGGCAAAGGATTTTGATACCTGTAAAGAAGGGACAGAGGAACTGCTCCACTTGCTCTGGGAAGCTGGCTACCGAGTTTCCCAGAAAAGGCACAGTTATGTTTAGAAAAGGTCAAATATTTGGGCTTTGACATCTCACACCAACAACGAGCATTGAGACCAGAGAGGAAAGAAGCTATTTGCCTTATCAAGGAACCTACCACAAGGAAACAACTCAGAGGATTCCTGGGAACAGCAGGGTTTTGTAGACTATGGATACCTGATTTCAGCAGTCTGGCCAAGCCCTTACATGAAAGCACTCGAGGTGCAGAAAAGGACCCATTCGTATGGGGACCTGAGCAGCAACAAGCCTTTTAGTTATCAAACAACGACTTATGGAGGCCCCAGCCCTTGGACTGCCTAATTCGGAAAAACCCTTTCAGCTGTATGTACATGAACAGAATGGGATTGCAGCAGCAGTCCTGACCCAGAGATTAGGAAGTTGGAACCGTCCAGTAGCTTATTTGTCAAAACAATTGGACTCAGTAGCAAAAGGATGGCCTCCATGCCTAAGGGCAGTAGCGGCCACTGCAAGCCTTGTCAAAGAAGCTGATAAATTTACCTTTGGCCAGACGATGTATGTGAATGTACCTCATGCTGTTCTGACACTCATGGAATATAAGGGTAGTTATTGGCTAACGAATCCAAGGATGGCTAGATACCAAGGCCTATTGTGTGAAAATCCCAGGATTCATCTACGAGTAGTGAATATGCTCAATCCAGCAACTTTGCTGCCCCTACCAGAGGTAGATGATGAAGAATCACATGATTGTCTCCAAATAATGGATGAAGTGTATTCCAGTAGACCCGATCTGAAAGATGAACCATTGAAAAATCCAGATGTTGTATATTATACTGATGGTAGCAGTTACCTGCATGAAGGTGCCAGACGAGCAGGATATGCTGTGGTCACCAATGAGGAAGTTGTGGAAGCTGAAGCTTTGCCTGCTGGCACCTCAGCACAAAAGGCTGAACTTATAGGTTTAACTAGAGCTCTGCAATTGGCAGCCGGATGTAAGGCAAACATCTATACTGATTCTAAATATGCCTTCTTAACCCTGCATGCACATGGAGCTCTATGGAAAGAAAGAGGTCTAATCGGAGCCCATGGGAAGGCCTTGAAATATGGACCTGAAGTAGAAATCCTGTTGGAAGCAGTATGGGCTCCAGAACAGATTGCTGTAATGCACTGCAAAGGTCATGGACGTGGAAGGGATCCAATAACCAGAGGAAATCATGCTGCTGACAAAGCAGCCCGAGAGGCAGCCCAGAAGCCTGTGGGAGGATTTATAGCAGCCCTCATACCAGAGGTAGTTCCAGAAGAAATTAAACCTCACTATACCCCAGAAGAGAGGAAGTGGGCTGAACAGGAAGGAGCGGTTGTGAAGGACGGTTGGATGATCCTGCCGGACAATAGGATTTATGTACCTCATCACCTAGCAGGCACAATTGTAAGAAATTATCATGAATCTACTCACCTTGGTGGTACTGCAACCAGAGAGAGTCTTAGTCGGAAGTTGTATATTATTAACCTATCACAATTAGCAACTTGCATTTCACAGAAATGTGTTCTTTGTGCTAAAAACAATCCCAGGCAGGGACCGGTACAACCTCCTGGAATCCAACATGTGGGATACGTCCCCATGGAAAGCCTAATTGTGGACTTCACAGAGCTGGTCCCTTCTAAGGGATTCAAGTACCTCCTTGTGTTTGTAGATACCCTTACCGGATGGGTTGAAGCTTTTCCCACCAGGACTGAAAAGGCACGAGAGGTAACTAAGAGACTCCTCACTGAATTGATCCCGAGGTTTGGATTACCTAGATGCATTGGAAGTGATAATGGGCCAGCGTTCATTGATCAAGTAGTACAAGAAGTATGTCGAGTCCTACAAGTGAAATGGAGACTGCATGCAGCATATAGGCCTCAAAGTTCGGGGAAAACTGAAAGAATGAATCGGACTCTGAAAACCCAATTGGCAAAATTAACCCAGGAAACAGGATTGGGATGGGTAGATGTGTTACCCATAACACTGTTTCGTGTTCGGTGTGCACCCACAAAAAGACTTAAGTTGTCACCTTTTGAGCTCCTGTATGGGAGGCCACCCTCCTTTGTTCAGGATATTTCAGCTGACCTCAAACAAATAGGAGACCATGTGACACAGGGACAAGTGCAATCTCTCTCCCGTGTTTTTGTTTCTCTTAACAGGTGGGCCCTCGAGCGCACGCCGTGCAGCATTGCCGAGCCGATTCATCAGTTCCAGGCTGGCGATAGCGTATGGGTGAAAGAGTGGAAACGTGATCCACTTGCACCTAAGTGGCGTGGGCCTTACACCGTCTTGCTCTCTACTCCAACAGCGGTGAAGGTAGCTGAGGTGACCCCTGGATTCATCACTCCCGTTTGAAGAAGTCCGAAGGCAGTTGGACGTGCAAAGGTGACCCCTCTAATCCTTTTAAACTGACTCTCTCCAAAACCCCCTGTATCTAGCCCTACGGGGAACGGGCTAGGTCACGGGCAACATTAGACGACTGGCCTGCTGCAGCCACAACCTGGAAGCTGGCTGACCTGCGCACGCCTGAAGCTTGAGGAGCGTCTGAACCAGCGATTGTGAACAGGAAGATTCTCTTATACAATTGATTGACTGCCCCCCGTGGAACAATTATCAGGGATATTACTCATTGGGGATCCTCGGGATATATGTTTTGGTCTTGGTGGTTCCCCATTTCTGTCATTGGGGAATTATATTGGGCCTAATATTTTTTGTTATCACAATAAGGTAATCTTTTGTGGAAGAAATGCATATACTAGACATCAACATGATTTTATTATTAATCCTGATCCCTTGGGAAGGGGAAGGGTCCTTGAATCTGACCAAATTTGCTAAATATGGATTCCGCCATGACCACAATATGTGGGTAGGCTTAGCTGAGATGGTAGCCAATGTTACAAATAGGACCAATTGCCTTGTTTGCTCTCTTGGACCAGATGATTCAGAGGGAGGTATGCCCTTATTACCGATACCATTAAATGCCATTGGTATGGTAAGCGAAATGCCACACCAAACAGAAGTACAGAATTTCCCCGGATGGAACTCAACTAAACCAATACGAGTTATACCTGTGCAAGGGGAATTCTGTGTACATAAATTATCAGCTGCAGCTGATTCTATCATGATAGGCTCTTCTCATTGCCACTATACTTGGGATTATATTAAGAATAGTCAAACCTGGGCAAACGGTACTACCTATCGAACTCGGAATACCTTGCCCTGTGCACCTCCTTTTATTCATGCATGGAAACTGGTGTGGAACATAACTGTGACAGAAAAAGGCAATCTAACATACTGCACTGTGAACTCTATGCCCCTTTTGATATTTCGCCTTATGCACTCCACGTACCAAAAACCTCAGACCCGATGGTTGTGGTGGATATGTGGAGAATGGGCATACAAGCAACTCCCTCCCAAATGGAGTGGGACTTGTTTCCTGGGATGGGTATTACCACCAATGTGGATTATGCCCACTAGTTCGGCAAAGCGTACACGAAGAAATGCTGATATTTCTCATATAGCAGGAGGAAGTACCCAAAGTTGGAGTGATACTGATGATTGGCCACCAGAGCGCATTATAGCCTATTATGAGCCTGCCTCCTGGAATCCTGATGAGCTCATACAAGGGGCACGGGATCCTATTTATAATCTAAACAGAATAATTCGATTGCAAGCAGTAGTGGAACTTGTAACCAATGCAACGGCCCAGAGTTTGAGACTTATTGCACAACAGTTGGATGAAAGTAGAGCCGCCATTTTGCAGCTGAAAATGGGAATGGATTATGTACTTGCCAGGCAGGGAGGCCTATGTGGAGTCTTAAACTTGACAGGGAATGCCTGTTGCTTTAACATTTCTGATAATGGTGAGGCAATCCGTGTGTTGGCCACAAAGATGGAGAGTATAGCACATGTCCCAGTACAAATATGGGAAGGATGGGATATGGGATGGCTCACCAATTGGTTACCTAATGTTGCGGGACTCAAAGGGATACTATTGTCTTGCTTGTTTTTCTTGACGGTAGTAGTAATGGTTTTATGTACGGTGCCATGTATCATTTCATGTTTTAGAAGTACAATTAGCAAGATGATTTCAAATGAAACTTTACCTCATATTATGGCCCTATACAGAGCTTTACCTCAGGAATATGACGAAGGTCAAGCTATCAAGGACACTTGGGATGAAGGTCCTTGAGCTTGAAAGGGGGGAATGAGGCATCTGATCAAAATCTGCTTTGAGCTTAAAAAAATTATATTTGTAAATATATTTCTCTCATGCAAGGGAGAAGAGCAGCTGAATACTCCGGCAGCTGTTCAAGGGGCCCCACTGCTATAAATAAAAGTATTTCAAGGTTGTAAAAGGAAATTAGAGCCAGAGAGCAAAAGGTCACACTGACCAGAATACAATCAAGCTGTAAAAACACAATTAAGAACTGGTAAATAGTGAAATTTATTGTTTAACAGAAGACTCGAGCCATAAGGTTAAAGGTTAAATGGAAGAGGTTGCTCTTAGAAACAGCTGCTGGATAGGGAAAAGGTTTCTTTATAGAACTTAGGAACTTAGCTTTCACTAAGTTCCTTCTAATTTGAAAAGGCCTTTCCTTCTAAAAATCTATCTATGTTATGTATGAAATATATTGGCTTAAATGTGATTATGCAAAGGATTTAGAAAGTAAGAAATGTTAGATTCTTATGTTAGATTCCTATTATGGTGGGTGAGAAGGTGAACTCAAGATCTCTTTAAGATAAAAAAATTAGAAACCATGCACCATCTGCTTTAGCCATCTGGTTTGCGGTGAATAGGGCAACAGGGGCCAAAGGTTATCTGGTAATTGAGGTGCCTGGTCGAGGTAAATGTAAGATATATGGCTACTTGTCTGCCATTTATGGATACAAGGAAATATAGCTTTTTGTCTCCCATAAAAGGGAATAGGAAATGGGTGTATCTTTTATGATTGGTTCTAGCAAACAGCCAATAGGAATTTCAACCAGGCTGATTGGACAGAGGCAGCCAAAGGAGGAGCAAGGGGGCTGGGCTGAGGAAATATAAGTGCTGGCCATCAGGGCTGGAGTAGGCAGAGCTTTGGTATCCATATACCACTGTGTCTCTCATTTATTTGTCTGACAAATAAATTATTATTTTAATTTCTCTATTGCTGCGTTGAATATTTCATTCCAGCTAAGCGTTAACCACAAGCAGGGTGCTACAGTAGTAGTAGTAGTAGTAGTAGTAGCAGCAGCAGCAGCATTGTATGTAAGTTTCTAATATATTTTTTTCTTGTCCAACTATTTACACAATATGCATTTTTCCAAAAGTCTCCTCAGAGCTGCTAAAACGTCTCGGTTCCTCAGGCTGTATATGAATGGGTTCAGCATGGCTGGGACAATAGTAATGAACACTGAGTTGATCATAGCCTTTTCTGCTGAATAGGAAGATACGGGTGTCATGTATGTTAAAATGGCGGAACCATAGAAGATCCCCACCACACACAAGTGGGACAAGCAGGTCCCCAGGGCCTTGTGGCTACTTCCGGAGGAGCGGGACCTCAGAACCTGAAGGAGGATGGCTGTGTAGGAAGCCAGGATGATTGAGATGGGGATTAGGAATACTAGGAATGTTCCGAGGTATATTGATTTTTCAAATGCAGAATTGTCGGAGCAAGAAAGCTTTAAAAGCGCTGTATAATCACAACCGATGTGTCTAATCACGTTGGACTTGCAGTAGGGAAGAGGCAGCACGTAGAGGGCACAGTTCAGAGCCTGGAACGCAGACCAGAACCAGGCAGCGACTGACATGATGTTGCAGATTTTGCTCCTCATGAGGACTGGATATTGGAGCGGCCTGCAGATAGCCACGTACCTGTCATAGGACATGGTTGCCAGGGTGAGGCACTCTGATCCTCCCATGACCAGCGTGACAAAAATCTGGACGGCACATCCGTAGAGTGAAATGGTGTAGCTGTGGGTTGCGAAATCCACGGTCATTTTGGGAACGATGGAGAGAACTTGGCAGAGGTCCATGAAGGCCAGTTGGCTGAGGAAAAAGTACATTGGGGTCTGCAGACCAGAGCTCATTTTAATTAAGAACAGGAGGAGGCTGTTTCCAAGGAGAGCGATAAGGGACATGAAGAGGATGACACCAAGGAAAAGGGTGGGTGACTTTTGATGCTGAAGTCCAACAAGAAGAAACTCCGTCCACGATGTTTTATTCTCATCCCCCATTCCTTCTTCATTTGTCTGGATTTCAGCTGAGTAAGATACAAGGAGAGAATATGTGGGGAATGGAAGTCACACTTCCCTGTGAAAAAAATTAGGTAAAGCACCCTTAATATTATAACTGTGGAGTGGCAACATTTAAAAATAAAACATGCCGTCTTCAGTTACAAGTGGCTTTTGAGGGTAAGCTACGCAGCTAAAACCATCCTGTTGGAGAAATGGAGGAAACCTGGAAAGAGAGGAAATAGATCCAGCCCAGGCTACCCCTTTCAAAGAGTTTTCCACCATAATGTTACATGCTATTTTTATTTTATTTTATTAGTTATCAGTTTTTGTTTCGATAATTTTTTGCTGTTAAAATTTTATAACACAAATAGAACAATGGAACATTACAGTATGAATGAACCATACAGAAAATCTTAATGAGAAAAGATAAATAAATAGAAGAAAAAAGGGTGCAAAGCACATCGTTCTCAAATCTCCACTTCTTATGTTGAAGAAATACAAGCACAAAAAAATGAGTAAAAAAAATCAATGGGGGGGGGGAATAGTTTGTCTGTTTTATCTTACCATATTGTGACCTCCCACAATGGCTTAGCCAACATAAAAACATGTGAGGAACTCCAGTATTGTGACACAGCTTTGAGTACTGGGTAGTCTCGGCAGCCTTATAACCACCCAGAAGTAGCCATTTGGCTTTGTGATGGGCTTCTTGTGGAGCTCTTCACAGCACTTATTAGCAGCTAGGAGCTGGAGAAAATTGGTCATTTGGGTTTTGATGGTCTGACCTATTCACCATTCCCAAAATACAGCCATTGTGTGTGGTGGCTCAAGGATCAGGAGGAATGATGACCAACAGCAGATCCTGCCATTATTATTTTTTAGCTTGACAGACTTCTTTAGCCTGATAGCTGTATATTCCCAATCATTTGTGCACTGCAACTTTCCCCCTTCCCCTTAGCTCTTCATAAAAGTAAGTTGCTCGTCTTCACTTGACAACATGGCCAGAGGGGAGACACAGGAAAGAAGTGAGTAAGAGAAAGGCTCCCAGGGTGTCTTTGTGTCTCAAAACTCAAAGGTAACTCCCCAGCTAACTAACGCTTTCGGTGAGCAATTTACAATGGTGCCAAAGTTTGAAATGGCCAATTTGCATAGATGCCAACGGCGTGAGTTGCCAGATTGAACTATGTTGTCATTTAGTCGTGTCCGACTCTTTGTGATCCCATGGACCAGAGCACACCAGGCACTCCTGTCTTCCACTGCCTCCCGCAGTTTGGTCAAACTCATGCTGGTAGCTTCAAGAACACTGTCCAACCATCTCGTCCTCTGTCGTCCCCTTCTCCTTGTGCCCTCCATCTTTCCCAACATCAGGGTCTTTTCCATGGAGTCATGTCTTCTCATGATGTGGCCAAAGTATTGGAGCCTCAGCTTCAGGATCTGTCCTTCCAGTGAGCACTCAGGGCTGCTTTCCTTCAGAATGGAGAGGTTTGATCTTCTTGCAGTCCATGGGACTCTCAAGAGTCTCCTCCAGCACCATAATTCAAAAGCATCAATTCTTCGGCGATCAGCCTTCTTGATGGTCCAGCTCTCGTGGAAATCTTCTGGAAGATGGAGGGTTACCAAATGGCAACCAACAAAAGACTACTTGCTACCTCTCAGCATTGCCTAATGCCCAGGGTTGTTGTGAACAAGACATGGGATTGAGTGGACGTTTGTATTATCATTTGCCACTTTTACACAGGACACTAAAGCGGGTATCAGTGGTGCTATTTTTCTAGAAAAAGGGGTGCTGGAACTCACAACGAACACCTCCCTTGTTTTCTTATAAATGACAATGGCACCCACCTTATTGGTGCTGGAACTGATTTCCGGTGAGTTCTGGCTGAAAAGAAAAAAGCCCTGGGTATCTCACCCATAGTGCCCTGAGTTCATTGGAGAAATGGTAAACTTTTTTTTTTTTTTTTAAGTAACATTCACATTACTTCAAAGGCTCTGATAAGCACACAGAGGGAACTATATATTCTGCCCAAAGTCAGTGTAGAATATGCCATAGAATTCTGTGTTTGTGTAGATTTCTGTTCTCTGTTGAGATACATTTCTGTTTCTGGGATCTTTTTCTCACCTTGTATTTTGTAATTTGTAAACATAGGGATGCAACCATATACAGTGGTACCTCGGGTTAAGTACTTAATTCGTTCCGGAGGTCCGTTCTTAATCTGAAACTGTTCTTAACCTGAAGCACCACTTTAGCTAATGGGGCCTCCTGCTGCCGCTGTGCCGCTGGAGCATGATTTCTGTTCTCATCCTGAAGCAAAGTTCTTAACCTGAAGCAATTTTTCTGGGTTAGCAGAGTCTGTAACCTGAAGCGTATGTAACCTGAAGCGTATGTAACCTGAGGTACCACTGTAATTGATACTGAAGCAAGAAAGATCCTTCGCCTCAAACAACAACCCAAACAGATTTGCTCTTCTCAGCACCAGAATTAGGTTCACAATTTCAGGTGTGCTGGTTACACACACACACACACACACACACACACACACACACTTGTGTTTCCCCCCTTTGGATTGTGATTGCCTGTCCCACATTCACTTGCAAAGGATTTTGTGTATGAAAATTGATGTTATCATCATCAGATATGCCAACCACAAAAATTTGTGTTGGAAATGCAACCTATATAAATATTAAGAATCACATACCTGTGTCTAACGCATGTCTTTCTGCCAGCAAGTAGAAAACCGATGTGATTTTTTAGAAGCTGTTGGCCTTTAGATGTTCTGCTGTAAACCTTCAGTGCTCCAACCATTGATTTAATTAAATCTTGCTCATGTCCTCCACCATAAACTATTGACCATAATTCAGTTTAAAAGTGTTACAGCCTTTTTCTTGTTGCAAGCAAAAAATGATTTACAGTACATTCTTTAGAACAGAGTTGTTACTCTGAGAGAATGGCATCTTTTTTCCTTACATTTTGAAAACCATAAATATTTTTATAACTCCAAAAGAAAAAGAGAGAGAAAGCCACAATCAATATTTAATTTTCTTGATTGCTTTTCACATCTTAAAATATTCAGAATCACAAACCCTAAATTGCTTGATTTGAGGTCAGCTAGGAAAACAATCCAGACCTTGTGAACTATTAATAATGCTCTTTCTTGTAAAGGAACATTTTAAAATCTACATCTCCTGCTTTATCTCTGCAAAATCTTTACTTAGTCCCACAGGGTCTAGCAGTAAGAGAAAAAATGTGCCTTTTTTGGATCTATATTATAACCAGGATTTTCACAATCAGTATTTAAAAGCTCCAAGGAGAAACGATCACACTCCTGTATATTTGGGAATTTTGGCTCCCCAACTTATTAAGTAATACTTTCAGAAGTGGAAGCTACAAGTCAGACTTCAAACAGTACATTGCACGCCCCACTAGATAATGAGAATCTAAAGATAGCAACATATGCTGCTTCTGCAGACACGGGTTCCTCCAAGCCAATGTCCACTAAATAACATGAATGAGGGAGCAGAAGATTCTGGGGAGAAGTACAGGCCTCCATTCAGTTCTCATTCTCCCTGTTCTTTGATGAGGTTGACGTTCTTCTGCTTGATTCCCTTTATACCTTAGGTCTCTGTAACTGTCCCTTTCTAGGTCTCCTCCTACCTGTCCAAATACCTGTCAAACTTTCCACGGGGGAGCAAGAGCAGTCTGAAGGAGTGTCTGACTCTCTCACCTGTAGCCAACATTCCAACCTAGAAGCTCTCTGGATTAGAAGGAATTTCTCAAGAGGGTGGAGAAAATGCTCCTCTGTGGATATTTGAATGTAGCTGGGAGTTTGCCTTTCCATCATAATTTACTTTATGGGAACTGATGAGAGCCAGGGTGGTGTAGTGGTTAACAGCGGTGGACATGTAATCTGGTGAACCGGGTTCGCTTCCCTGCTCCTCCACATGCAACTGCTGGGTGACCTTGGGCTAGTCATAGGTAAAGGTACCCCTGCCCG